ACCATGGATCCTGCACACACAAAGAAACCTGAGCTGGCTGAGGTCCATTTTCTTTGCATTGTCTTAGAAGCACAGGGTACAGCGATGAGCACCTGCTGAACTGAGTCTGGCTGAGTTCTGTTTTCTTTGCGTTGTCTTAGAAGAACAGGGTACAGCGATGGGCACCTGCTAAACTGAATCTGGCTGAGTTCCATTTTCTTTGCATTGTCTTAGAAGCACAGGGTATAGCGATGGGTGCTGTGGGATGTTCTGTATATCAAATGTGTTGCTGATTAGTCAATAAATAAAACACTGATTGGCCATTAGCTAGGCAGGAAGTATAGGCAGGACAAGGAGGAGAATAAAGCTGGGAAGTGGAAGGCTGAGTCAGAGAGACACTGCCAGCCATCACGATGACAAGCAGCATGTGAAGATGCCGGTAAGCCACGAGCCACGTGGCAAGGTATAGATTTATAGAGATGGATTAATTTGAGCTGTAGGAACAGTTAGCAAGAAGCCTGCCACGGCCATACAGTTTGTAACCAATATAAGTCTCTGTGTTTACTTGGTCGGGTCTGAGCGGCTGTGGGACTGGCAGATGAGAGAGATTTGTCCTGACTGTGGGCCAGGCAGGAAAACTCTAGCTACAGATGGGCACCTGCTAAACTTGAGTCTGGCTGAGTTCTGTTTTCTTTGCATTGTCTTAGAAGCACAGGGTACAGCTATGGGCACCTGCTGAACTGAGTCTGGCTGAAGTATGAAACTGACAAACCTTTCCACTAAGAGAAGCAAAAATTTCAGGTAGAACTGGATGGGTCATGTGAATTCTTTGTTCCAGCCTCTGCTGTGCTATAGTGTCCATTCTACAAAAGGGGACATTAGTTGTTGAGGAAAGCTAGTCATAACATCCCCATTAGAAGGACTTCGGCATCTTCCTCCAGCCTCTGTATGAGGGAGCACGAACACATGTGCCTACACACACTACACATACCACGCCACACACACACACACACACACATCCCACATACACTATAACCACCCATATCACCACCAATCCCAACATACCAAACACCCAACACATATAAATCAAAATACAAGGTGGATGGTTACCTCCACATGCACACACATGTGTGCCAAATAAACCAAAAAGTCTTTTTAAAATTGCAATTTTTAATCTTTTTGTGCCATAAGATAGGGTCACAACTAAAGATGCTTTGTCAATGTCCTCTAGTCAAGCATAAAGCCATGAAAACAGCATAATAGCTCTCTGTGTGTGAAGAGTTGTAAGATTCTTGTTCTGTGAGAACAATTCCATCACAAACAAAATCTAAGTGATCCTGACTCTGTGTATGTGAAGCACTGTAGTTACTCCTTGCCCAGTGGCAACATCACTGAATGGTTAAATCTAGACTGGATTATGATTATTTTTGAATACACATATATGTATACTCAAAATAGCACTTATGCAATGGAATTTGACATTTTCAGGCTCCTACATAGAAAATAAATTTTAATTCTTAAAGAATTTACTTTGGCCAGTCATAATGGTGCACACCTTTAATCCCAGCACTTGAAAAGATGTGATCTCTTTGAATTCACAGCCAGCCTGATCTACATAGAGTAGCCTGGGCTACACAGTGAGAACATGTTTAAAACAAATAAGCAAAAGAATCAAGGAAGACATTATGAGAAAGTTACTAAAATGGCTACATGTAAGCTCATGAAACTGATTTATCAGAGGTGATTGATAGATGTGATTCCTAATGGAGTAAGTATTCCTAAATCAGAAGTATACAGTTCAGAACCTCAGGCCCTCCAGGTCAGAAAAACTAAGCCACATGGGAAAGAAAACTTGGTAACCTTGAATGTCCTCTTCCCATGCCCAGTTACTCATTTTCTTTCTTTTTTAGAAATCAAGGTTTATCGTCACACCTGGCCTCTTGGTTCTCCTCTCCCCTTGCTGCGGGATTGGTCTAGCCTGCTCTCACTTTGCTGTACTTGGTTAGGTTTATGTTTGTGCCTTTCCTGTTTTAAGATCACATCAGAGTGTGTCAACTACAAGCCTGTGGTGACTCATAAGCCTCAGCTCTAAGGGGCTTGTGCCACAGGCTTTGGTGGCTCTGTATGTCATGCCATCCTGACTCATCTAAGTGACAGAGACATGTTCCATCCTAGGAAACCCTGAGCAAACTGTCATTCAACTCCCAGGAGCTGATGAACCGCGTGGAAAGTCAATGACACAAAGTAGAGAACAGCACAGTGGGTTGTTGGGCCAAATTCATCATCTTCACATCAAAAAACAAAGTACTGGTTTGGACTTACTCAAGTTAGTCAGTCAGTGTTTTTTAAAGGCCTTGCTGCAGCCACCCAGAGAATGTGGTGCCACCTAGTGGTACTGTGCATGAACAGCCACGCACTGGATGTTCGAGATCCCTGTTTCCTTCTGTGTGTTATGCCAGTTGCGCTCGATGTCTGCTGTTTGCTTAGTGTTCTTATTCCGGAACGAGGATAATGAGACCCAGGATAATTTTTTTCTCACGTATGTGTGTATAGTGTGCATATTTGTTTGGTGGGGGGTGGTCCCATGTATGTGTGGAAAAGTGTGTGGAGGCCCCAGACTGATGTGGAGTCTTCCTTACCACTTTCCACTTTATCCATCGAGACAGAATCTCTCAATTGTATGTGGAGCTCATTGCTTCAGTTAGGCTGGCTAGCTATCTTACCCTAGGGATCCCCTAGCTTCACTTTCCAAGTCAGAATTACAGGAGGCTACCACGCCCAACATTTGCATGGCCTTGGAGGACCCAATCTTTAGTCTTTACTCTTGGGGCAGGGGCTCAGTGCAGTGTTACTATTTCTAATTTAACATGCAAGCTCTCCAAGATTAATCCTGACTTTCAACTTGACTGGATTGAAAGACAACTAAAAAGTAAGTAAAGCATATTTCTGAGCATATTGTGGTTGCTTCTGTAACAGTTGGTGAAAATGTCAAGAGAACTGAGTGGGAAGATCTGTCCTGAAGGTGAGCATCACCATGGGATAAGCTAGGGCCTTGGAGGAGCAAATGTAAAAGGAAGGGGTACTCATATGCGCCCACACTCAATCTTCTTGTGGGTGCTGCTGCTGCAATATCCCTTCCTGAAGAACCATGGGCCCTGAGGGACTTAGAGGACTCACTTAAGCCCGGTTCCTCCCCAGCAGGCCTTGGGTGGCACAGGATGAGCATTGCTGACAAAGGCAGGTGGAAACCACACTCCAGAATCCTCCTGTGACCAGGACCAAAGACAGGGAGTGGCCTCCCACCACACCAGGATGATATTTTGAGCTCCAGATTAGAAAGAGGATGTCACTCGAAGACTTCTTTGGTGCTCTTACATAGGTGTGCTAAAAAGAATGGCTAATGATCATTTACCTCCAGCCCCCAAAACCAATGTGTCCATTAACTGACTCCATTACCAAGAACCAGATACCACATGCTACTGTGTTGAATGGCCTAATGTTGGTTTTCTTCTTGTTTATGGTGAGGGGGGTTTTGGAAGGAGAGAGAGTTCTACATTTGGCATTGTGATTTACTTCAAGGATAGGAGAAACAATTTCCACTCAGCCCAAATCATCTTAAAACCCCCATTTAATGTACTTTTAGACTCCCAGAGATCCATTCCAGCTTGCTTATCTTCACTGGCCTCTGTGACCTCTGCCCACTTGGGCGTTAGCTCAGGTGCCTTGCCGTGTTTTACCTTCTTTATCCATCTCCCTGAACCACTCAATGCTTCCATGTACACCATGGTTGCCTAGGACTTTTCACAGTTGCAGTGTGTTCTGCCTCATTGATGTTTGTCTCTCCAGAGAGAACAGGAACTCCATGACAGTAACGAGGTTTACCCTCCATTTTCCCTTAGCTCTACTTAAGCTTCTGGAATACGACAGACACCCCCTAAATTGATTAGGTGAACAGGCTATGCTTTATTCTAACAGCAAACCTCAGGAATCGGGTGTCTTGTTGAGCTGTCAGAAGTGAAGATTGTTGCAGAACTCTGGGGAAGAGGTGAACAGTGCCTTCCACCTACTCGGTCATCACTGCTCTCCTAGAGAGCACCTGACTACTGAACTCAGTGTTACCTCACAGTTTTGTCTTCGTAGAGGGAGAAACACTTTAGGAGGAAGGGACCGAGTTCATTAGTGAATAGGTTTAACAGACACTTATTAAATACTTAGGAATGGGCAAAACTTAGGTACGTGAAAGGGGCCTAAACTTTCCAAACCTGTGGCATTCTTGGGCAAGGGGATGTCTCTGTGAGTAAAAGAGCTCTCTATGACAGCTTGATGACCTGAGTTCAGTCCCTGGGACCTACAGTGGAAGGAGAGAATCGGCTCCCAAAGCTATTCCCTGAACATCACACATGTACCTACTGTGCACACATACACACACACACACACACACACACACACACACACACACACACACACACACGCCTACGATGATTTCAATAACCTATGCAACCCCAGGCGCCTTTGCCTTTCTCTTGCTGTTCCCTGTCTCCTCTACAATCCCCCAGTTTACTCAAGCTGCCATTTCTCTCCTTTACAGATGAGGAAAGTAAGGTCCACGCAGATTAAATGGCTCAAGGGCACACACAGAACTCAAGGTAGAGCATGAGTGAATGTTGATCACCCTGACACCAGCCTGTTCCTTCCTAGCAAGCACCCTTGGTGAGGAGGATTCTGAGCAATGTGCTGGTGCCATTTGGGGAGGCTGGCCCCAGAGGAAGGCTCACCAGCGTTGGGCCCATCAAATTCTGGAAGACTTTATATCAACAGTTAATTCTAATATTTACATTTGGAAGGAAGGAAGGAGGGAGAAGAAGGCAGAGATCACATTTTATAAGAAATTTAGGGAATCTCTTGCTTTAAGAAAATTTGAAATTGTGGCCAAAAATCAAATGCACCAACAGCAGTATCAGCTGAAAACACATTTTTTTATTAGAAACAACATAAACACAGTCTAACACATTGTGCAAATACACACTTCTATTCCATTGCCCAGTGTGATAAACACCATCCCTCAGCAAAATCGTTGTTTTCTTGGTGACTGCCACATAGCAGTAGTTGCCAAGTGTCAGACACTAACTAAGCAATGAGGAATTAACAAACAAAGGCAGAAGCTCACCGGCCAGCTGACACGGTCTTTATTCTGGCCATCCTAGCAGATCTACTACTCACTATGTCCACCTTACTCCCTGTCGTGTGAGTCCGTGTATCAAAACGGGGGGATGAAAACAATTAGGTAGATAAATGGGGTTGAAACACTAGTTTTACTCTCAAATAATCCAATGATTTATGAAAAAGCTATTGCTTAGGTATTTTATAACAATTTTAATTTTTTACTCTATGGCCTTTTAAAGACCTGAAATCCTTTAACAAAAAGAGAAAACCCCTGTGTCTCTATCTTCTATCAATGTACACAGTCCTTGAGTGGTGACCCAAAATGAAAATCAAGCCTAATGCAAAGCCACCTATACTTAAAGTGGCCGTTACCCCTTTCCTGTAGTGACTTGGATATTTTCTTAGTGTTTATGTGAAAATGGGTTTAAATCTGAATATTCACAGTGCAAAGCCCAAATCACTCCTTTGGAAAGTTGTCTGCTAATGTGTATTTTACAGGCACTTCCCTCTATCTGTGTTCACCTGTGACTACCATACACTCCCCAAAATTTCCATGTTTGTGTAAGTTTGTATCTTTTTGTAAAGACAATTTACAGTTATATAAATATGATTCATTTTATTCCTTTTAGGAATTTTTATAAATATATTAATAATTATGTTCACTCTCATCAGCAGATGGATCCCATGTTTGCTGTGGAAAACATCAATCCTGTTTTTCATAGCACCCAAGAATCAGGTGATCCTTGGGGTTCTCAATTTCATTACTTTAAAATTCTTCAATGTGGTTCCAGCCACGAATAGTCATATAGATACTGCATGCTCAAAGATATCTTACTGAAGCCTGTTCCCAGAACTAAGCTTTCTGTTGTCTCCCAACCCCATCCACACATCTGAAATTGTCATCCTGAATGCTCTCCAGGAGTTAAGTAACAGTTTTGAAAAGATGCTTAACACCACAACAAGGAATTTGTTGGCATGACTCGTACAATGCGGTTACTCCAGATACTGTATTCAAACTGTATGGGCCCATTGAAAAAGTAGATATAGCCTAGAAAGAAAGAGAACAAGAGAAAATCTCAGGCTTTAAAAACATTAGGATTTACTACAGCTAAGATTAAAGATCTGATCTGTGGTAGTATTCTCTAATTACCTAATTGCTTATTGCAGCTCTGGAGATCCACCAGAGCCTCACACACTTGAGGCTGTCTCTTCATTAAGTTTATACTTCTCAATCTTTATTTTTGAAAAAGCCACCAGCTTAATGTAGTGCTTGCAGTTTAAAGGATATACGACAATAACAATGAAAGAAAAAGAGACCAGCAATTTGAGAGCGGGGTTGGGGGACATGAGAGGAGTTGGAGGGAGGAAAAGGAAGCAGGGAAAATGATGTAACTAAGTTTTAATTAAAGATTTTTTTAAATATGTAAGTATTCGAAGATTATATAAATTATGCCCTAGAATTACTTGTCTTGCTACAAAATCTAGTTCTGATGTTAGAAACATTGGTATTCATTAACTGTTAGAAGTTAGGGGTAATAACTTTTGTCATAATTAAAGCAAAAATAATTATATAGTTATGATAGTTGTGAATGTTTATAAATTATTCCATACTCCAGCACTAACTTGAATTTTGACATAACCCCCTGCCTCTTGGCATCTCTACATATAATTTAAGGTCATCTTTAGGTTCTACATCTCTTATCCCACAGTTGGCAGTAATTAGGTAAAATTCTCATTGATTCTAAGCAGGTTATTTTGTTTGCTATTTAAATAGTCACACAGAAATAGTCAATACCTCCGTGACCATGCATCTATAAGCTCCTTTGAATTCTGTATTAAGATCCTTTGTATGTAAAAATTTCTGGGGGCCCAGAAGCCCTTCTGCAAAATCAGTGCAATATAACTACTTACCATTTTTCTCATAGACAGCATCTACTTTATCGCCAATTCCGGGGAATTCCTCTACTATGAGTCGGGGATAGTCTTCGTCCATAGTCTGGTTAGCATCATCATATCTGTTTAATAAGAAAAAGAAAGCTATATTATCAAAAATATAGGAAAGGATGACAAGAAAGGAAATCCAGGTGAAAGATTAGAAGAAACAAGTTGCCAGTATTGAGAGATGGCTTCGATGTATGAAGAAAGGGAAGGATGAATGGTTGGGAGAAAGTGGATATTGTGGATGGTGTGGGTGTGCATGTGCATGTGTGTGTGAGATGTGTGAGAGAGAGAGCATGTGTGGGCTTTAGTCCAGGAGCAGCTGGTGGAGAAGTAGACGTGAAACAGGAATGTTGGACTGGTACACATCCAAAATTAAGTGTGATAGGCTATGGGAGAGGGAGGTAGGGAGCAGGGAACAGATGAACAAAATACAGTGTCACACATGGAATTAGTGAAACCATAGTTTTGTATTCTCACTTAAAAATCTAAACATTTCAATAAAACCACCCTTGTAATTGAAAATGAAGTATGAGAAACAGTTGAGAACAGCAGTAACAGCAGGTGTGGACTTGGCCCCAGGACAGTGGTGGGGGTGGGGCGTGGGGGTGTGTGTGTGTGTGTGCGTGCCCGTGCGTGTGCACACGTGCGTGAGCGTGCCTCACCTCCACACCTGGCTCCCGGAGAAGAAGAGGGTCTTGCCCATGTCCTCAAGGTGCACAGCAGCACTTATCCTCTTCACCTCTTTTGGAAATCCCAGGTCAGATATCTTTTTGGGATAACCTTCCAGAATGTCATAACCATTGAGAGCCCAGAATTTTCTACCTAGAAGAAGTCAAAGAACAGTTTTAATGACCAAGGAACATATGTCAGGGCTTAGGCATACAAGCATGTGCTGAAAAGGAAAACTATTGAAGAAATAGCAAAGTCAGTGTAATCTCCACGTGTCTGAATCAAACACAAAGGAGCATCTTTCCAAAAGAGATAGGATTCAAGGCTGGGACTTCCTGTTTATTAATACAGCCAGCCAAATATCAGTTTGTCAGTTTATTGCCTCTGAATGTAAAGTTTGGAGCTAAATAAAAAAAATTATTGAAATTTCTAAATAAAGAACCACTAGTATCAGTGAATTAGATTCAAAATTCAAGTTTTTTTATAAGTTAAAGAAAGTTACTTTTTTTCAACTTTAAGTATAAGAGTCAAAAAGTAGAAATGACATTAGCAGAATGTTATGGAAATAAGTTATGGCCATTGAGGTAGGGTAGCATTTTCATCCCACCCCCATGCTCATATATTAGGGACAAGCAGGGGCTGGCGAGACGGCTCCTCCGTGAGAGTGCCTGCTGTGGAAACACGAGGACCTGAGCTCAGACTCTGAGTCCCCACGTGGAAAGCCGGGCGCCGGGCGGTCCAGCACTTGGGGTAGGTGTGTAAACAGAAGGATGCTAAGGGCTCACAGGGCAGTCAGCCTAGCTGGGGGACAAAGGAAACAGAACATAAAATCATACCCATACTCTGCCTCTAGTATGTGTAAATACGATGAAGGACTAGAAATTTTAAAAATGCACACTGTGTTTCCTTAGCAAGTAGTTTTTAAGATAAACTAGAAGGAAACCTGGAGTGAGTGAGACAAAGCAAAGAATGGATATGATAACAGTGCTTTCATTCCCTTTCCTTTGCATTGCTCAAGGCCAGGTGCTCAGATGGGCTAGGCACTGAGTCATGTTTCCATCCCATAGTCATTTGACACACCAAGTTAAGAATATCTGGTAGAACAGGTGCAGGTGCTTTCTGGTTCTCCTGTGTTGTGCTGTGTTCTTAATTTAAGTATTGCTTTGGTGGTGGTCATGCTACTAAGTCTCTGGCAATATCAAGTTCATCGCCCATCTACACTGGCCATTTGAAGAGCCTCCCCAGTGGCAGTCTTACCTCTAAAGATGAACATAAGGTCATGGGATGGATGTTCATATGCAGCATCCACATGGTTGGGAAGTTCTGGCCAAAATGATTTTGTCAAAAACAGCTCTGCCTCAACCTGCTGAGGGTGCAGACGCCAGAAGAATCTAGTGCAAAAGGAAAAACACAGTTTATCACATTAAGTGCAATAATTCTATTCTGCTAATAACCACTGTCCACATCAATACAGATCAGGTACTACAACCATGCCTGGTACCATAAAGGGAAAAGAAATGCCATTTCCCTTTATGTTATAATTTGTAGCCCTCCAAGTTCTAGCCAGAGGTCTTCTCAACTGAAATGTTACAGGGCCTTATTGAAGGCTCTCAGTTCCCTAGGGGTTGAAACCATGCTTTGCATATATTCAGCGTGGCAAGCACATTTGCCATGAACTGTTGGGCTATAAGAATTATCTTCCATGATCTCAAGGATCTTGCAAACCTTAGAGACCATGTATAATCAGAGTCATAACATAGGTAGTGGGCATGCTATCTGACCACACATGGAAATATGTATCAATGAAGAGATTAACACATAAGCAAGATACAACCATCTACAAATTGTAGGTGAACTTCATTTTTCATTACCTATAGGTTTCATTTTCACCCCCTTTTTGAAAATTCCAACATAGGTATTGGAATCAGTATCTCCATTGTGAAAGAAAGTAGTGTGGCTATCAGTAAATGCACTAATGAAGCAATGACTTGCAATATTTTTCAAATAAATTTGGTTTCTATTTTTCCTTTATCTTATTAAGATTTACCCACCATTTATTTGATCCAAGGCATGTAAGTAATCTGCCCTTGGTCTACTGTTTCTGTGTTGCCCTTGGGAAGTTTGACAGGAAGCTTTGGCAATTTGCAGACATAACTTTACCAGAGTTCATCACGTGCAGATTTGACAAAGGAATCTTAAGAGTACCTGTCTTTAAAGATCATGGTTTCTCCTCGGAGGCTGGTAATGGCATCAAGGGATAAGGCTGGGTCACACTTTTCTGGTGTTTTGGGATGTTTAGGATTGGGGTCTTCATCTCCTGGCCCTGCAGTGGCACAGCAAATGTGAGAGGCTTCCAAGTGTCCTTATAGGAGGACTGGCCCTTCTGGGGCCAGGAAAGGGTTCCTTCCAGGAAGGACAGTAGCCCCTGAACTCATACTCCAACACCCAGCAGTCTTCCTTCCTTCCTGCAGGGTACCCCAGGCTAGCAGGGTGCTATCCTGTTTTCACTGCTCTGGACCTCTTCAAAAATTCTTCTGAACCATAGATGTACACTTCTTGAAGGTGATGGCAGAAAGGCAAGGTGAACTCAAACCCTGAGACCATTTCCACCCCACAGTCAGCCTGCTGACAGCCCTTGGGGAGCACACTGTTCTGAGCCCAGTTCTCTGGGTGCATCGCCCATGTGGACCCCTCATCTTCTCTCCTTCTTTCGACTATTTCACCAACTGTAGATGTCAGCTGATTTGGCTTCCCCAGTTTGCCACACTGCAGCTCATCTCAGTGACAAACTGGCTCAAGAAGCTCTGCTGTGACCTGCCACATGTTTATAACTTTCAGCAGTTCACATGTGTTGAGCAGTAACCCCATATTTCTCTCTCCACTACATAATCCTGTCAAAAATTCATTGGTTACAACATGGTAGAATCAAGAATTACTAAATAAACTTGAGAAGTCCCTTTGCCACCTTCAAGTTCATGCCTTCAACCACACCATCAGTCTTTTAAATTCAGAGGTTAGCAGTAAGCTAAAGTGGCTTGACCAGTTTTCTGAACTAATTCTCCAAGAGCATTTGTACTGATGACTGTGAGCAGTGGCTGTAGTTCTTTTTATGACACAGAATCCAGAAATAAATGTTTGGGTTGAAGTTTAAATGTTTTGTAAATATTATTGGAAAAGTGGGAGGAAATAAGAGAAATTTCCTACTGTGGATGTTGAAAACCACAAAGGCCCTGCGAGAGGGCAGCAAGCTGCAGTGACCGAGGAATGTCAGAATTTACAGAAACTGTTTATGTCCTCATCCTCAGCGTCACCTCTGTTGCTGTTTGTGCACTTTTAAAACTCAACAGCATTTAGTGGCTTCCTAAGTTAAATGAGGAATAAGAGCACAAACACAAGGAAGTATGGTCTGAAAAACATTTAGAAACTGTAGTTTCTAATGAACTGTAGTGCAAACCCAAGCAAGTAGTTTGATTCAGAAAGATGGATTATTTTTTCTCGTGTTTGAAAACATGAGAAATGGGTGATTAGTCTCGAAAGGAAATGTACATCTATTGTGCTAATGTAACTATATTAATCAGTTTTGTAACTGGTAGAAAAAGAGTTACCGTAGAGAGACTGGATTCCTTGAACATCATCATCGGGAAGCATGAAATGGCTTTTGCCAGTGTAGGTATAGATGGGAAACATCAGGGCTCCTGGGTCCTTGGAGTGGTCCAGACCTAGGGAGTGGCCAAGCTCATGGGCAGCAACAATAAACAAGTTGTAGCCTGTAAGAAAAACAAGAAACAATGAGAAGACAAGACCCTCCAATAAGGAGGCAATAAAGGAAACCCTAATCTATCCACCTATCTTTTCCTAGTTCATCATTTTACTCACTCTTTAAAACTAGTCCTCAGCAGCTTAAAGGAAGATTCAAAATAGTAATCCTTGCAACTGTAAGGACTATAGCTCCCTGTATGAAAAACCAATTCATCCAATCCATACTTGAAGAATCAATTCTATAGCAGTGTTAATAGATCGTCCTCAGATTAGTAGTTAGTAAAGGCGGCCATGAAGACAACAGACATCCTGATTTTTTCTCTTTGTCTTCTCTAGCTAGGTTAAGAGGGTGGACAGGAATATAACCTGGAATCAGCCATGTGGAAGTCACATGAAGTTCCACATAGCTCTAGCTTTCACTTAGAACATCATTCAGAGAGATAATGAACATGTCACTGTATTTTCATCTTTCCTCTAACAATTATTTCCACCAACATTTAGAGTGTTATTTTAAATTGTGTGTGAGTGTGTGGTAGAGAAGCAGGGTAGGCCCTGGGCTCAATCTCCAGCACCACAAAACAGTGGACCTCAAGAAAGATGGGAGAGGGAGAGTTAGAGTCAGTACTCCGTTTCTTCATTAAATATTCTTTGTTATCAGAACCTATATGTAAAGAAAATGAACTAACTTGCATGTTGTAGGACAAGCAAAGGTCTCATAGTCAGAATGATCAATAATTATTGCAGTGACTAGTAATGGTTCCCATTTTTTACCTTCATCTGAAAACTTAACCTGGAATTCTCTTTCTTGCAGATGCTTTCATTCACTTATTTCAACTAAACAAATTCCAAACCTGTGATTTCGGTGCATCTGAATCTGAGACTTCCTGTGGCTTTTCCTTAACCATACCGGATGCTCTTCTCTGTAAACCGCCCTCCCCAGGAGACACTCAGAGCATGAATGTAAGACCTTCCCTTCCCCTCTAGAGACAGAGTAAAAGCACTGGAGAGCAGGCGTTCATTGCAAAGGGGCCAGTTCCACTCTCACAGGGGCAGGGATCCTATTGGTTTGTTTATTTACTCATTCACTATTTACTTACTTACTCACTTAATTTTTTGAGACAGAGTCTCCCTATCGAGCTCAAGCTGAGCTCAAATTCACAATCAGCCTCCTGAGCACTGGGATTACAGGTGTACATCACTATGGCTTCCATTTTATTTAAGTAAATACTCAAAACCAACTTCTGTGAAGATTGTTCTTTGTTGCTCTAACTAGGCATCTCTTTTGCTCCAAAGTTAAACCCTACTAGGAATAATCTGAGGCTTTTCTGCTAAGTCAACATCCCAATTAATTTGAGCTTTTAGAAGCAAGAAGTAGCCAAGAGTCATAGCCACACTAGTCACTGCAGTACAGATTTAACTCCTGAGTGAATTTGTTTAACACTCAGTTTCATTTTACTCTCATAATACAACCATTTCTGCCCCCTAGCTATTTGGAGTGAGATGTTCTCTTGCTTTCCTGAAGCAGTATTTATAAATGAATGCTGTAGGAGAATCCAAGACAACCAATGTGCCTGTCGAGGAACAGAAATGTGGTTGAACCTGTGCCAATAATACTTCAGCCAAGAACAAAATCTATTTCAACTCACATCCAACATAGTTATGGACCACAGATCCAGCCCTAATAGTGTGTGTATGTGTGTGTACGTGTGTGTGTGTGTGTGTGTGTGTGTGTGTGTGTGTGTGTGTATTATACTTCTTTAACAGGCAAAACTGTAATCCAGAGTAAGAAACAGAACCATGCCTAACGGAGAAGACATTTTATCCCACTTCACAGAGTATGTCCCTGAAGCCACAATAACAAATGTCATAGATTTTATTCAATTTTTCATATTTAATGATTTGTAAAAATATCTGTGAGGGAACTAATTAGTGCAAAATATTCCTTCATTATTTTAGAAAATGTAATCAAGTGCTAAATACAATTTGCTTTATGCTTTCTAACTTTGTGGCAGTGTGTCCACGTCCAACAACATGTGAACTAAGTCTTTATAAGGAAGATTACCTTTGGAGCTGCTCGTCCAGGTTTCATCATCATCAAAATGGGCGTCCCCTCCATAATTTGGTCCAGGAGGAAAGGCATGTGCCAGAAGACCAGAAGGTCCATCAAAAGGGTAGAAGTCACCATGTTCTATGTACAGAAGCAAGAGTTAGAATCCCATCATACATATACATACACATGTACATACACATCATATACATACACATACACATACCCATACCCATACCCATACCCATACCCATACCCATACCCATACCCATACACATACCCATACCCATACACATACACATACACATACACATACACATACACATACACTTACACTTACACATACACATACACATACACATACCCATACACTTACACATACACATACACTTACACATACCCATACCCATACACATACACTTACACATACACATACACTCACACATACACATACACATACACATACACATACACATACACATACACTTACACATACACTTACACATACACATACACTTACACATACACATACACTTACACATACACATACACTTACACATACACTTACACTCACACATACCCATACCCATACACATACACTTACACATACACTTACACATACACATACACTTACACATACACATACACTTACACATACACATACACTTACACATACACTTACACTCACACATACCCATACCCATACACATACACTTACACATACACATACACTCACACATACACATACACATGTACAGCTAGTGCCTGGCTCAGGGGCTTGGCAGAGTTTTGTCAAACGCTTTGAATGTGATAAATGACTGGTGAAAGGAATAGAAAAATGAAACCAAGGAAGAATTAATATATTAACATGTTTCAAATGATTCCACATCCTTACCTTTAGTTCCAAAAGATATCATGATATCAGCAGTTCCATCATGGATTCTGGTGAAATTCAGAGGTGTCACATCAGACCAGACTTTGAAGGCCTTTTTGAAGGCCTTCTCCACTTCAGAATGGGGCATATCGGGAGTGTAGTTCACAATTCTATTCAACAAAAGAAGTATCAGTTAAACTTTGAAAAGTTAGAACTGCTTTTAAAATACACTTCCTTTGATCCCCCATGGGACTGGACTAGGCCCTCTGCATAGGGGAGATAGTTGTCTAGCTTGAACTGTTTAGGGGCCCCCTGGCAGTAGGATCGGGATCCATCCCTGATACATAAGTCGACTTTTTGGAGCCCTGTGCCTATGGTGGGACGCCTTGGCAGCCTTGGTGAAGAGGGAGGGGCTTGGACCTGCCTCAGCTGAATGTTCCAGGCTCTGCTGACTCCCCACGGGAGACCTTGCCTTGGAGGAGGTGGGAATGGGGGGAAGGCTAGAGGCCCAGAGGAGGGAGGAGAGGGAGAAATCTGTGGTTGGTGTGTAAAATGAACAGAAAGTTTCTTAATAATAAAAAAGAAAAAAATACACTTCCTTCAAATATTGCTTTTCAACTCAAAATGAAATGGCTGCTTTGAATGTTTTACTAGGTATAATGGATATTTTGCAAGAATAACATTTAAGAATTTAATCAAATATTTAAGCATCAACAAATAACTGAATACTTGGCATCTTAAATTTAAAATAAATTCAAATATAACTGTTTTCATGCTAAAATTTGGAACTAAACAAGATGGCACTGAAGAGTTTATGGGAAGAGTGGAACCCTCTGTCTTCAGGAGCATCATCACAAATGTGGCTAATGTAGTCCATTTTGAACTTTCTAGACTCTCCTCCTGAATTGTGGTTTCATTTCTTAAAGAAATATTTTGAAACAGCCACTGAAGAGCAATGTTGGGATAGAGTTAAGATAATAGGGCTTATTAAATTAATTTACTCATTTTTCATGTTTAACATTGACTTACAGACCTCTTTTATAAATACTAAGTGTAATAATTTTGTAGAAAATGTGATCAAATACTAAATATAACTTACTTCTATGCTTCTTAACTTGGTACTAAAGCTAATTCTGAACTTAATTTCCCATTGAATACTTAAGGCCTGCTCCAGACACTTAGAAGAAAAGACTAACAACATGGGGGAGATGGAGCCTTTGCTCACCTGTAAGTTAAGTTCGTCTGGGACCATTTGAGCGTTCGAGGGAAAACACTGTATTCACCCACATCAGGGACTCCGCATCTTGGTTTTCTCATGATGTCTAAGGTGGGATCATCAAGTTTTCCAGTCACCTCTAGGCCGAAGAAAGACTGCATTTCTCGGAGCCTATCAACTGTGGAGGTCACTGCAGACTTTTTCAGAATTCCAGCGAGAGTCACGGGATGATAGTAGGATTTCAGGTAGTGCTGGAAAAGAGACCAAAACAACTTGCTTTTTCAGAGAAAGGAGATTTAAGAAGCACTACAATGGCGACTGGCAGAATACTGTACCTCTGCAAACTCGAAGTCTTCCTCAGATAAGTCGTCATCATCATCACCATTGGGCAGGGGCAGGGACCAACAGTGAGTCCAGCTCAACAAGAAGAAAGTGGCCAGGACAGCTGAATGCATGGTGACCATCAGTGCCTGCAGTCTCCTGCAGTCTCTCCTTCTCTGGGCATGCACCTTCTATTTTATAGACCACAGCAATGAGTCACCACCTGGGGTGTGTGTTAACTTCCTAGTTAGTCGAAGGTAAACATGCTTACATGGTCTTTTTTTTTTCCTGCGTGTGGTTTGTGGCAGAATCTGAGGAAAGTGGAAAATGAGGACAGTGGGGGATACCAAAACCCATCTGGCAAAATAAACAGCCTCAGCATATTTATGGATCTAGTGGAGAGAAGAGGCTATTGTATTTTCACTTCACTGGGCAAAAATGTTTTCTTCCTTTTGTAGGAAAAACAGCTACTCTGAGTTTTTCAGGTATTAAGAATAGCAAAGTGATACGTTTATTCCCATAAAGAAAGACAAAGTCCTGTTTGCAAAGTGTCTGCAGGCCAGTGAGTTCTCACAGTCTGTCTTGAATCACAACAATGAGGATCTTTGCTGCATTCCCCTGTGGGTCTCAGAAATGACCAGAACAAAGCTTGAAGTCTTTGAGGTACTGTGACCATTTTGAGTCCTAAGCTGGGATTTTAACTGCCTGCCATAACCTTTTGGTGGCTGTGGAGACCTGTGTGAATTTCCTGCATGTGCAGGCATCTGTATTCAGGTTCTGTTGGAATGCAGCTGCTGTAATGGTTAGGACCATGGACTATGCACATAATTAGAACTATGTTTTGAGGGATTACTCCTAACCAAGTTTAAAAGGCATTATCTCATTTAACCCTACAATAATCCAAGTAGATATTGTAAGAATGAGTAGGGTCTTACACTTACAACTTTTGGATTGATTTATTTAGTCTACAGTGGATGCTGTAGACAATCCTCCTTCCTCGGTTTCCTAAGTACTGAGACTACAGGTGTGAAGAATTATCTTGGATCATTATAACACAACCTCTCTCCAGAAGAAATATTTCAATGAAAAACAAAAATAATTGTCACTATTTCCCAACTTTAATGCTTATTATTAAATATCTCTCATGTTTTATTGATTTATTCTTTAATTTAACAGTAATAAATAGCACAAGGCATAACAACAAAACGTTAGTACATATTCTGTCATTTTAAACAGAAATAGAGAGAAACTCATCAGAAGATTAAAATAGACATTCCTTAAGAGAATGCCCAACAGTCTATGTTCTGGAGAAGTGATTGGAGACAGCTGACAGGATATGTCATCACAGTGATGTGTTAGTAAACTCTTGTCAACACAAGTCCTTATCTCAGGCTGTTAACTGTACAGATGAAAGCCAGACCTTTGATCATCACTGTTGGAATGATGTGCGTGCTTTCAAACCGCCCACTTTGAAGCAGGGAGCTGAGCTGGCCTCTGAAAGGGTTCTGACAAGGGCTGCTGAAATCACTGGGAAATTTGAAAACCCGTAGAATGAGAAAACAAAACTGAGTGTACGAAATTAGGAACAAGTATCACCTGCTGATTCAGACAGAAGCAATATGGGATTTTTTTCAAACATGTCATCAGCAGTTTCTAAGTCCAAAACTAGTAATGATAAACAGCTTTTAGTAAAGAGCAGAATTCCCAATTAGGACAAATAGTCATTTGAGTTAGATTAAAATTATAAAACAGCCACAAGTCAAAGAATTCTTGATGTGCAGGGTTTGACTCTCATTTAGAATTATGCACTGCCTGTGTTGAAAATGTCAATGAGAGCTTTTTTTTTCTAAAGCAAGTGAGTGACTCGACTTTACAAATGCATGATTTCCCCCCCTTGGGAACACTCTGAGAATTTCTTTGTTCTTGTTCTGTTTTCTTTTTGCCATAACCCTGGGGAATGGGATTATAAAATCAGTTGTTCAGCCAGTTGATTAGTTGGATTGCTTGTTTGTTGTTGAGACTGGGTCTTATTTGGTCCAGGTTGTCCTTAAACTCACTATGTAACTGAGGATGGCCTTCTGATTGTGTTGAGTGCTAGGATCACAGCTTGCACCATCATGGTGGGGATGGAACTCAGGGTTTCCTGTACGCTAGGCAAGCACTCTGTAAACTGAGCAGCATCGCCACTCCTGACATACTCTTAAAATAGGAGGGCTAAATTTGAACTTACACAACTGTGTTTTCTCCATAGAATGAGATGTAAGAACACCCCTCACCTAACCTCCTTGAGCAGAATCAATCATGGAATCATCCTTGGGATGGACAGCGAAATACAGAAAGACTCCTCTGAGATGCTGCAGTTTCCAAGGTTGGCAACTAAGGATGGCGTTCTCTGTGACATCTGAATCCCATGATCCTCACAGATATTGTATTAACACTGAGTTCATTTACAGAATAAATTAGGAGAATCTATACTAAATAAAGGAAATAATTTTTTAGTTTCTACTGAGACAAACATCTAAAAGAAAAAACTTGGTTTCCTGGGCTCACCTCCTGGTGTATTTTTATTTCTATTGTGTTTCACTAAAGAGAATGTTTCCAGAATGACAATCTTTGCCAGAGTCCATGGGAAAGGAACTAAGAACAGGGCAGGTACTCTTGCCCAACCCCACTCAATTTCATTGAAAAAGTAAAATCTAGGTCCTGTGGAAGTGGCTAGTAGAAATTAAAATAAATTAGAAAAATGAAAAATGCCTCAATGGTTTTAACAACAAGCCATCTTAGAACAGCTTAAAAAACCCCTAGTATCAAACAATGACCTAGTCTCACCAGGCAACCTTAACTCACTAAAATAGAGTTGCTGTGTCACTTTAAACAAACAAAAGCTTTCTGATTCATGAGGTTAGACAGGTCAGCAAGACGGCTCAGCAGCCCCTGCTTTGTAGACCTGACGACCTGAGTTCAGTCCTTGGAACCATGAAGAGACCCAACTCCCCAAAGTTGCCCTCTGACCGCCACACACATGCCATGGCACTTGTGCTGACATTCACACACACAAAACTGTTGTTTAGAGTGTGTGTGAGTGTGTGTGTGTGTGTGTGTGAGTGTGTGTGTGTGTGTGTGTGTGTGTGTAGTGCGCACCCACATGCCATGGCACATGTGTGGAGATCAGAGGACAACTAGTGGGAGCTAGTTCTCCCTTCACCCCATGTGGAACCCAGGGATGAAACTCAGCTTATTTGGCTTGGCAGCAGAGGCATTAAGCAGCTAAGTGGTCTTGTCAGCTCATGCAACAGTTCCTTCTGAGACAGAAAAGCTTAACATGTTGCTGGTATGTGTTATCCACAACCTTTTCAATTCCAGAAAAAAAAGTACTTTCAGTCAAATTGGGTTGTTGAGATCTGTAATTTACTTTTTCCCATCAAGCCCAGAAAGTTGAGAATGAACTCAAAATCTTCATAAAACATCTTAACAATGTTGTGCACAAAAGCTTAATATTTGCTTTTTCCATAAATATGCTCTAGTGAGTTAATTTCATAAAATTATAGTCCAGATTTTGTGGTGACCATTAACTGCCAAGGAAGACTTCTACCTCAGCCTGGTCCTGGAATGGCGTCACTCCTCCAGTTCTCGGCCATCATGTGAGGAGATGCTCATCCTAAGGTTAGGGCCATACACAGGGGCATCTACTTGGTGACTGCCTCCTCAGAACTCAAGCTCGCTAATTCCCTTGGACATCCATTGAGCATTTAGCCACATAAAGCTCCCCACTCTCTCCATGTCAGAAACAAGAAGTCTTGGCCGAAAAGTTAAGACTGAGCAGCTAGAGCACATCTAAGACAACAAACAAAAGCATAATAATTAACATCATCTGGACTGTCAAGAAATCCTTTAAAGCTATAAATTGAGAGTTAGCTTTGGGATTAGGTACAGCAGCTTGTGGTAGTTTGAATGTAATTGGCCCCCATAATCTCCTAGGGAGTGGTACTATTAGGAGGTGTGGCTTTGTTGGAGTGTGTGTGGCCTTGTTGGAGGAAGTGTGTCACTGGAGGTGAGGGTTGAGGTTTCCTATGCTCAGGATACCACCCAGTGTCTCAGTCGATTTCCTATTGCCTGTAAGATGTAGGACTCTCAGCTACTACTCCAGCACCACATCTGACTGCACATCACCATGCTTCCTGTCATGATGATAATGTACTGAACCTCTGAGACTGTAAGAGAGCCACCCCAATTAAATGTTTTCTTAATAAGAGTTCTCATGGCCACGCTGTCTCTTTACAGCAATAAAAACGCTAAGACACAGCTCAGATCTCAGCTCTGCTATCTATCAGTTCCCTGACTTTTTAGCAGCTTGTTTAACATTCTTAACAACTTCTCTGCCGACCAGATGAACCAAGAGGCTCTAACAATAGAAACGTATAGAGAGATAAGCTCCCTTTATGGTTCCACATATGGTTCTTACTAATAATGATGCTATTCACTAAGTTACACTAAACACTACGAAGATGATTAATCATGATTATTCATTCATCCTCTGTTCTTGGTTCCAGAGATTTTTTTTTAATGAGTATCTGTAATGAAGCAAAGTTCCTTCTCCAACACCTTCAGTGCGGAGAAAATTTCTTCTTTCATTATTCCATCAGATGTCTTCCCCTTCTCCACACATTAATGCTCCAATCACTGCCCCCATCCTTCACCTTAAAAACTTTTCTTAGCCTCAATCGATTTAACCTCCCTAGAGAGGCCCATTTGTGGAAACCTCAAAGCTTTCTTTGATCTTCCTGAGAATGCTTGTGATTACCAAACAAGATCACAAGTCTTCAAGAGCCAAAAGAATTTAAGGTCCCATAACTGAAAAAAAGCAAATGAACTATTGAATTATGAGATTCCAAATGTAACGGAAAGTGCCTTGGCTGTACTAGAGACAGTGGGCTGAAGCCTTCCATGTAGATAGCAAATGGAGACTAGAGAAAACTGCACAATGTGGGGGAAGGGGCCTGCACCACTCTGCCATGGGAGCCCTCCTCCTTTCTGACATGAATCCCTACATAAAGAAAAGCTACTTTCTGAGTTCTTCGTAAATGGCAGCAATCCAGCTGGGAAGATCACGTCAGAATGGGTGATTGTTATACCAGAAACACAGATCAGTATTTAGAGGACTCACCTGGGAATGAGAG